AGATGCAAACTTTTTTCCTTTTCTTTGTAGTTATTACATCATCAATAAAGGTGCTGCTATCACAATTCATACTATACTTCTACATTCACACAAAAAGATCAGCATTAGCTGAATCAAATGGTAAAAACAGTTTGGTTATTGATAATTTAATTTAAACAATGATTTACAATTTAGTTTACACATTATTGTTTTTAAAATAGGATTCTCATTGTGTTTACTAATTTTCTTTCCATAAGCCTCAATCACCTCTTTGAGAAGAACAAATCCTTTCTTTTAAAGACTAAGTAAGATTAATGTATGAATCATCATCTATATATGTATATATGTATATATACACACACATGTATATATTTAGATGYAGATAGACACAATACCTTTATTTTATTTATTTATTTTTATGTGGTGCTGAGGATCGAACCCAGTGCCTCACATGTGTTAGGCAAGGGCTCCTCCACTGAGCTACAGACTCYGAATCTTCTTCTTTTTGGTTGTTCAAAACATTACAATGCTCTTGACAAATCATATTTCATACATTTGATTCAAGTGGGTTATGAACTCCCATTTTTACCACGTGTACAGATTGCAGAATCACATTGGTTACACATCCACATTTATACATACTGCCATTAATGCAAATGTTCTTAAACTAAAGATGGATCAAAAAAGAAAGTTCCACCAGGTAATTTAAGTCATATTTGGCTGTGATGTTAAGAAAAGTCAATCCAGGAAAGATTGACATTTGAAGGCCATGACTCTGAGAAATGTGTGCAGAAATTGCTGGTGGGTAATAGATCTCATTAATGTGTAATTCTCTAAACATTTAAAATTTCATGTAATTATCTTGGCATTCCTAAATTAAAAGTAAAATAAAATTAACAGAACTTACTCGAAACATTAAAAGAAACATAGTAGGTAAGTATTTTGTGGGATTAAAGGTTTCATGCAATCATGCTGTCTTCAGAGTCTCTCCAAGGTATTTCTCTAATAAGAAAACAATAAGTACATATATAAAATGAAGTAGCTAACTACAGATAAAGAGAAGTTCATTGACAGAAGGGCTTTTGGCAGCTCTTTAAGCCCAACAGGATTTCTGAAGTTTACTAATCTCAATTAAAATTTAATTGTGAAAGCAGCAAGGGCACTAGCACTGGAGAAATCTTAACACACTCTCTTAAAATCTGTCCACTACCTCACTCCCATGTGTACACTTTCTTAATTAAATTCCATAAGTACTGATAGAGAAGAATCATGATGTGTTAGAAAGGGGTGGCCTGATGTCACACAGATGAAGACATGAATTCCTGTTTTATAGTCCGTTTTGTGAGCTTCAGTGATTGGCACACAACYAGTCATACGGCTAGTGAATTGACCACTCTCATTCTCTTTCTTGTACTGTTGGAAGACATTTCAAAGCCAGTATTTGCTATTTTTCCCTCCCCAGTACAGCCTACTCCACAACCCACACCATGTACATCTYAAAAATCCTCCGTTCATTAACAGACATTCATTAAACTTGGTGGGTTTCCAATCTTGCATTAAAAACAGTGTGTTATTTGCTTAAAAGACTCAAACTAGAAGCTAGCCAATCCTTAAAAAACAAATGCCAAATGACTTCTTTGATATAAGGGGAGTAACTAAGGACAGAGTAGGGACGAAGAGCATGAGAAGAAGATTAACATTAAATAGGGATGAGAGGTGGGAGGGAAAGGGAGAGAGAAGGGAAATTGCATGGAAATGGAAGGTGATCCTCAGGGTTATACAAAATTACATACAAG